TCCAAAAACGTTTGTAGACGACGTTCTAGTTCAACACACTGATCTGTGAAACGAACTCCTATTTGTCCCGCAAGTACTGCTGCTAGATCGTCGGCAAAAAAGAATGACATTGCTCCAGGTATATAATCTGCCATATCGCTGTGATAAGTTATGAATAACGAAGGTGTCAGACTCGAACCTTGAGGACCACCACGATTTATTTGAATCCACCTCGATCGTTTACCATGTATTTCTATCGTTGCTTTCCGTTCGCTCAGCCATGCATGAATCCAACTTACATACGCCTGTGGAATTCCCATTCTAGTAAGTTTACCCAAACATCCATCGAACCACAGTTGGTCAAAAGCCGACTTGAAATCAACGAAGACTGTTGCAACTGGAGAGCTATTCGACATATAGGATGAAATTTGTTCTATAAGTAGTAACACCCTAGTTTGAAGTCTATAACCCGAACGGAATCCTGATTGATTATCTGGTAGAATACCTCTGCCTTTTAACACTTTCAGAAACCGATTCAGAAACAATTTTTCTTGTATTTTCAGAAATGAATCGAGCAGCGAAATAGGTCTTGTTTGATCTGGAGTACATATAGAGTTTCTTTTAGTAAGTAATACCATTCTTACTTCTTTAAATTTCTTTAAGATGTAACTTTCCGAGAACGAGTAGTTATATACTTGTGCCAAAAGATGCCAGTAATTATGAGGAATTTTGTCCAGTAAATAAGGAGAAAGTCCATGAGCATCCAGCGATTGTTTTTTCTTTCTTGTTCGTAAAATATTTATGATTTCCGGATAAGTAACCACCGGAATTATTTCTGCCGCGTTCTCCCATTGAACAGGTGGAGCATCAACATAAGGGTGCGGACGTATCACTGTGGGTGCCTCGAATAATTTTTCATAGTGATCAGCTGCCATGTTTGCCATTTCTTGTGGATCTTTTATATTTTTACCATTCGAATTCATAAAACCCCTCAAAGTTGAGGATACGTGCCGAAAGTGTTTCTTTGTTTTGTTCCAAAAGATCCTAGAACCTTCACCAGGTACGTGCCTTTCTTTGAACCTTTTCGCTAGTTGTTCTTGTTGAAAACGCTTTAATTCAAAACGTGCTAAGTTACGCAGACGACGAGCTTCTGTTCTAAGTATGATGTCGCCCTTTCGCTTTGCTTTGAATGATAACGATCGACTTTGTGCGAGTATCTTTATAATTTCTTGTGGTATAGAAGGTCGAGCATGTTTCGATGTAAAAAAATGTTGACATCTTGTATTAAGTGATGAAAGAAATGAGATAAATCGTTCATATGTAGCATCATATAATTCAGAATTCCATTCTTTTTCCCAAAAAGCATATGTATAAGATAGAAATAATGAGAAAACAGACCATATTGTTCGAGATCTTTCACCCATCTTCCCACCTTCGCTTATTAACACACCTAATAGCGGCTTATGATCACTAGATGTATCACCTTCATATGTTTGAATTGTTAAATCAACACCAGTAGTAATGGCATAGTCAATAATTCGATCTGAACGAAGAGATGTATTTGTATCAGGAACCACAGGTCCAAGAGAGCACGAATCCATCCATTCAACAAGTCTATCTGCTTTGTCACCGTCACGTTCGATATCGATATTAAAATCTCCCATTATCATACAGCGATCGATGATAAAAGGTGTAATGTCTGTCCAGTCCCAAGTTTTACTCGCTGGAGCATATAGTGCGATCAATCTGATGGTTTGTTCGAGTAAAATGTCAATTACACAGACGTTAAGTAATGAGCAGGCTACGCGTGCCACTGGAATATCATTTCTTATCATTACAAGTAGCCCGCCGTGTGAGTTTTCACCCACTTGATAGAACACATTGTAGTTGGAAAATGCACCGCTTATTAGAGTGAAATCGACACGTCCCACTTCACCCAACACTATAATATCTGACAAGTGCTGTTTCACCAGTAGACAGACCTCCGCCCATCTTAAATCCAGACCACGTACGTTAAAACAGAGAATATGCAAAGAAGAGGAATACCCATGTTGTTCATTCAATTTATGATATCGTTTCCATTGAAGTTCTAAGTCATTTAATGAAGAAGCTGCATGCCACTCGTTAATAACTTCCGTAAGTAGATTAAAGTCTTTCGGTACAAGAGCAGTTCGAGCATTATTTAAGAAGCGAGTTGAATTAATGTCATGTTTGTAATTATCATTGACCGATTGAATCATTTCGACGACTTCGATAAGGACGATCTGACTTCAACCAATGTTTTTATTTGTTCTTGCCAATACGTTTTCCAATGCTGTCCTTGTGAAGTTTGTGGATCTAATAGTGTAGAACATATGTTTTGAATTATCTCACCAATTCTCACTGAAAAGTTATCAAAATTCTTCTCTATTTTTTTTACTTTCTCTTCTAATACTTCCACTTGTTGCTTTGTTTCATCATAACGATTTCTCATTTCTTGTTTAAATTCTTCTATTGAATGACGGGTTGCATTGGATTCTTCTTCTACTTTCGCTAAAACACTATCTAGTTTCTTGAGAACTATTTCATTTGCGTTTGTGTTTTCTGGTGTCATTTTAACCACGTTTGTATATGACATTCCCCTTGTTGTCGTAGCAAACGGTGTAGTGCTGCTATACATTTGACCTGAATTTGGATTTTCTATGTTTGCTTGGTCCCATTTTGATAGCAGGTTACGCGTAAGAGCAGTCCGATAATCTTGTACTACTTTACATTTTGCATCATTTGAGATATGTGGTCCACCACAATGAACACATTTTAGCACACCGGAACATAGATGATCCTTTAAATTTGCACATTTTTCACCACAGGTTTTACATGTTGATTCATTTTTCTGAGGACAGTTCTTTCTAAAGTGCCCTATTCCATAACAGTTGGAGCAGATCAGTACATTTGCTTGAGCAAAAAATTCAACCACCTTGTACTTTATATGCATAGCCGATATTTCACCTGCTTCAAGAATTTCTTCACGTAATTTCGTTGATAAGAACTCTAACTTAACTGCACGTATTGGCTGTTGGGCTTTATTTTTTAATCGAATGATAGCAGCTATATCAGGGTACTTGTCTTTCAGTTCTTGAACGAATTCTTCCCAGTCCACTTGTAGTGATACATAGGGTAGAACCAACGCCAGCTGTGGAGGAATTGATGGTCTCTTTGTTGTATACTTGACACCTGCTAACAACTCTGGCCAGTTTTGTTGATTATATAAACATAAGAACGATTCACTATTCTCAACGAAGATCAAAATGCGACACTCGTTGTTTTCTGATCTTCCTCTTCTATATGCTATCATTTTTAATTCGAAATTAACATTTTCACGAATAAACTTCGTCAGATCATCGATAACGAGTTTTTCACGTGCTTCTTGTGCAAATATTACCGAGAATGGTGAAAAAGGAAATCTTGTAGTTGCAAAACGACATGCTGCAATTGTAGGTTGTTGTATGTTATCTGTTGGCTGAAAAATTGGCTGGTTCATACCTCGAAGACGTTTAATCTGTGTATTATTGGAGTTAACGATTCGAGTGATCTGTTGATATTGAGGTCGCACTTGAGTATTCGACTCCGAAACACCACTAGTGTCATTGCGCCCTCTCTTGGTGCTGGCTGATATTGGTGTTGAGGATACTGTTGGATTAATCATCATTGACTGCGGTAGCTCAGCTATGTTTACTTGTGGATGACTTGATAGAAACGCTTGTTGTTGAATCGTGTTGGAATGTAACCCTGGTTGTTGCATGTATGTGCCGTTATTGTTTGACGCGAAATATTGTTGTTGCTGAGGCTGATGATGCACAATTATGTTACCTTGAGGGTATTGATTAGCAGTTTGGTTATTTGGCGGTTGTTGCATGTACACGTATGGCTGATGACTATTTATCGGTTGAATGTTTGATGGAGCTGTGTAATAAACTATTTGTGGTTCTTTTGATGTTTCATTATTAAAAACTCGTGGGGCATTATTCGATACTTCATATCTGCAGGAGTTTTCATCCTGCCAATAAACCGGTTGCTGCAGCTCCACACTATATTCTACGTTTTCATTTGAGGAGGTCATTGACCACCTACGTCAACCCGATATAGTCTTTAGTTTTACAGATGAATCAGAAAGAAATAAGAAGCGAAAAAAATAGACAGAAGCGGCAAAAAACAATACGTCTTACCACTACCAACGCGAGTGACTGAATGATTATGATGTCGAATTTCTCATTACTCTCCAACATTTATTTTACATTGCATGCATTTCCATACAAACATGTACAGGTGAGCCATAAGAATCCCGTACATTGACCGCCACATGGTCTTTTTCCTTGAAATTGTCCACCAGAACCAATTACATGAAGACGACAAAAATCCGAGCATCTTTGACTTCTTGGGCAGCCATTGCCTGCATCGACACTATCTAAAATATCAAAATCAGAATATTTCGTCTCTTCTCTGCAGTTTTAACACAAAACGAGATTCTTACAAACATCAATACTTGCTATGAATACCAGAACCAAGACAACGAGAGTCGTCGAATTCATTTCAGAAAAATTGGTATGAAATGAAATATACTTCTTATTGGGTGAGTTTGTTACTGCTTGATGACGAGTGGAAATTAAAAGCAATTTATACACTAGAATTAGAGAATCTTTCTGTGTTATTTAATACAAAATACATGAAAGAAAAATGAACTGAATCCTAATCCTTTCGATATTTTTGTCCGTTCTGATCGATATGTCAACAGTAGTTTGTGACATTTCGATCAAGATGAAATCATGTTTTAAAGATTTGTGCTATTCATTTAAGTCTCAATTTACTAAGACAACGGAAGTGAATAAGAACAGTCATCGGATATGACAGTTTGAAAAGTAAGTGGAGATATTCATATGATATGACATTAAATGAGTTTACTTGAATATTCGCATGTTACCATACGTATGTATAGTCATTTTTTCGCGTTATAAAGCTTCACTATAGGCTCTCAGGAAGCATTCATTGAAAGTGGATGATATAGGCATTAATGTGACTACGTTATTCAGGTTTTATTTGGATTCTTCATCTTGATATGTCTGACTGTTACGAGAAGAATCAGGCAAATCGGTGGACTGTTTTAATGTTGGTATGGATGTGGATCAGCTTTTACTGAACACGTATACCCATATCCATACGCAGATATGAGAATAAGAAAGTTTTCGTCGCCTATTTTCTATTAGAAAACTTCATGATTGTTAGTTAAGTATGATTTGTTATACTATGATTACGAAAAACTAATGGCACTTATTAAATTTTTATTATAATATATGAACTGTCATCAGTATTATTAATTTCTTTTCTAATTAGCGTGACCATTAGAAAATCCTTCAAAACCATTACTACATTGAAGGAGGGAGCATATTCTGTACATCTGTATTTTGATGTATCTCATCATTATATATGGTTTCGTATATAAAAAATGTAAAAGTATATCGACGCATAAAATAGGGTGTGGGGAAGAGTGTAGATGATGAGTACCGCTAGACCCACAACCACATACTCACATCTTCAACTGATCAATCTTTTGCAAAAAAGTCTTCCATTCAATTCAATTACCAATTCATATCGAACGCATGATAATCAATAGCCATCAATTGAAACAATTCATAGTTAGTTATTTACCGAAGTTGACAGTCTTTCGATTCGTTTTATGTATCGTAGTATTGATGTTTATCATAGTTATGGAGTAGAAATCGATTACATTTTTGACTTCAATAGTAGCTCATTATAGCTTATTGATTGTCGATGGTTTGTTCGATGTCAATTACAAATATTATATTAACGCCCCTTAATTGTTCTCTATTCGTTTTTGTATGAGTTTGATTTATTTGTTTTTGATTCCAGAGCTCGTGGGAATTGCACGAAATCAACATGTTCTTCAAACGATGACTCTTGGTTTTTTGATCACGTGACTTCATTGATCTACTATTCAAGTGCATTGAATGCAACGATTTGATATCCTTTTCCTTTCTCCAATATTTAATATCTTGATATAATATTTTCTATGCGTGGCCAATTTTTGTCCACTATTCCCGGATCCAATCATTTAAGAGAGGGTCCATGAGACCGTCGAGCAGCATGCCATATATCAAAGCACTCGATAAAATTTAGTTTTTTGATTTGAAAGGTTCTCATTTTATTCAGCGTCAGCTAAAACCTCCAAATCCAAATTTTTAGCGCATTTGATTGAGCTGGTGAAAAATTAGCCTAATTTTACTGTCCAACACTCACGATGTTATTTGAAAAATATGGCAAAAAATCATCAATATAAAGCTGAGTTATTTTGAACAACAAAACATTAACAAAAGTTTTAATGTAATATATTAAAAGATAGAGCGTGAAAAGCTGAACAAAATGATGTATTTACATTTTATTTTTCAATGGACTAAGCTCATTTTACTGGTAAAATACTGTCGATGGCTGCCTATTTTTCGAGTAAAAAGTATATGGATTTTTTTCATTATTTTAGCTGCCATTCAGTCACTTTATGAGACCCCAGACTGAATTTGAGATATATTGTACAACTTTTTCGCCTCTACAAAATGACTAAAACAAAGTTAAAAAAAAAGGGTACACTAAGAGTGAAAAGGGGCTCACAATGTTGACCAATTATATACTATTTTTAGTGAAAATTTCAAGGGGGAACAAACTGATTTCTAACATCAGAAATCACTAGAAATCAAAGAAATCACTGGAAATCAAAGAAATCATGAG